TGCATATAAGGAATAAAACAAAATCCTCTGTCGTACCATATTGAATTGTATCATTATTTTGCATTGTGTTGAATCGCATCGTATCGCCTCGAATCGTATAATGTTGAATCAAATCGTATCGCATCGCCCGGTGCTTCAAATGTATTGTTAATGTATCGTATCGTTGGCAACGTATCGAGGTGGGCATCGCATCGGCCTCAGTGATGGAGATGCACATCAGACAATATATATATATATATATATATATATCTTTTCAACATTTTTTTGTATTCATCATAAAGGCTGCATAAGCGTGTCTCTTGTTTTATTAAAAACAAATGGTAACTGAGTAGGAATGCCATAAAGGTAATCCTTGCCCAATATACAAACACACCTCTCCTCTCCATCTTCATCGTCTGTCTGCACACAGCTGTCCACATTCCTGCGGGGGGAGCCGTAAAACACCACGCCCTCTCCGTCCAAGCTGTCTCTACTCAGCCTGGTCATGGAGCTGTGTTTCCTCATGTTGCTCCTGGTATCCATGGGCTCCTGCTGGCTCCTCAGACACATATCGGACGAGGAGTTGGGGAGAGAACGGTAGCCCGCCTGAGAGTCGGTGAAGGAGGGCAAAGGCTGTTCATTCACATCCAACTGAAGATAGAAACAATTATTTTAAGGTTGATAATGGTCAACCATCATTGATTCAACTGAGAATGACAAGCACTAGAGCACACATTGAGATCACTTATACGTATGCACCAGAGCTTAAGCCTGCATCATCAATCTTTAATTCAATCATACAAGCATGTCACATCATTTTCAAGCCAGCTGCCAATGCGCCTCACCTGCATGCTCTGAGCTAAAGCTGTTTTCTGCCTCTTCTGCTCTACAAGCTGTTGCTGGAGCTGATGCTGTAAAGACTGGATCTGGTCTAGCTGGGACTTCTGCTGGGCCAGCTGCTCCCTCTGGAGAACCAGTTGTTTCTCGCGTTCCTGTTGCTGTTGCTGTAGAACCTAATAATAATGTCGGTGGAAGGGGGAACAGGAAGAAGCACAAGTCGACAAACGACAAAACATGAAAAAGATGGAGAAGCGTAGCAGAGGACGGTGACAGTTAACATGTTGGGACGAGATGAAATGATCAAACAAGACAAATGAATGATGAAACATAGGAACAGAAAAAGAGAGTAGGACAGAAGAGGACAAAGTTGTTGAGTTATTGGCACAACTGGTTGTTAAGCAGATGATCAAAGACTCCTGACACTGAATGGGACATTCTTGTGCTGATGGATTAGTTTTGAAAAATGTTTCCACGTTAGTCAAACCTCTATATATTGCAAAAAGCAAGAATGGAAGCGCAACATAAATGAAGTGCAGCATGTAGTGGTTAATGCTGTTGCCAGTCACATAATGCTCATAAGAAAATATGTAATTTTCTTTGTTGCAAAAATGGCAAGCCAATGCAAAGAAGGCGCTAGGATTTTTGCTAATATTGCCGGGTATGAGATGAATATTAAACATTCCATCTCTAGTTCATTCTCATTAAGGAAGGCTTCCACACCTGTTTAACTGAGTTTACTTGAAAGATTTTCAACTGCTTGTTCTATCAAAAAAGGAGAAAATCGTCATGTTAGCCTTTCTGTTGCTAAGAAAAGTGATATACTTAAATGGGTACTTGCTGGTGATAAGATAAACACAACTTAATGGAATCAACTTTTCTTTTCTTTCAGTCTAAAAAATTGAATATCAAAACACTTTCCATTTCCATGAATATCAATCAAACCAACACATGAAACATGAAACCAACATCTGAGCATTATCAGTTCATATCACACATACTACAGGCATGTGCATGGACACCTTATAACCAGGATAAATCCAACTACATGTCATGCAGACTATAGCAACAACTTTAACCAAATCTTTGTAAGGGTTTTGGATGCAAACATTTCTCTGAACATAAAAGCCATCAATAAATCCAATCCCATTTTCTCTTACAATAACAGAATTTTAAAGCAATTTGTTTGAGGACTTAATAAAAATGTATGCTGTACGTATACAGTATATATATACATTTAGCAAATTATGTATTGTTGTTTTCAACTCAGTTTACTGCTTGCACATCTAAGGTGTGATATTAAAAAAGAAAAACATTTAAATTGTAATAACACAATAAGATACACCACCAAAACAACTTAAAACAAAACAATATCAATGGCAAAACCAACAACCACAAAACAAAAAACAGGACACCAACTATCAAACTCTCCATTCCGCCTCCTGTTTCTCCCTGTACCTGGTCCTTGATGTTCTGCAGTTCGTTTAACTCTCTCTGCACCAGCATCTGCTCCTTCTCCCTGTGCAGTTTCAGCTCCATCTTTTCTCGGTCCAGCTCGTCCTGCAGGCGCAATTGTCGTAATTTCTCCAGCTCAACGCGCTCCCTCTCCATCTGCAGAAGCTGCTCCTGCTGCCGATGTAGCCTCTCTGCCTCGGATTCACCCTCCTTATGAACGGCACCTGGTGGAGGGAAGGAAGGAAGACCCCCTGCAATGGGTAAGCCACCAGTTGGGGCAGAGGGGCCCGCTGGAGGTTGGCTGTAGCCGTGACTGTGTGAAGGAGCAGAGGGTGGGTAGGCATAGGCTGCTGGAGGATGCTGTTGAGCAGTTGCCACTTGTTGCTGTTGTTGTTGTTGACTGTTCAGGTGGGCCTGGGACAGGTTTATAGGCTGCTGCTGTGGCTCTATTGGTATGACAACTCCTTGTACTGAGGTGACCTCTGTTGATGAGGGTGCACCTCTACCGAGGTAAACTGGTTCATCCTGGACTGTAGAGCTTGTAGTTGTCAAAGAAATATACACTGGGGCACCTACTGGTGCAACACCAGCAGTAGTGGCAGCGATTGACGTTGTTTGGAGAAGACCTGGAGCTGGGTAACGGACTGGAGCTTGTCCGGTTAAGGGTACTCTGGGGCTCATTGGTAGTCTGCTGAGACTGGATAGGGGCACAGGTGTCATGTTGGCAGAGGGGTATGCCCTGTAGACCCCCCTCAGTATTGGGTGAAGAACAGAGGCAGGCTGAGTTGTAATGGGAAGTGTAGAAGCAATGGGGGTCTGAATGGTGGAGTAAATCATCCCATCAGAGGACCTTATAGCAGTAGGGTACATAGCCCTGAGACTAGCCTGCCTTGCATTGATAAGGTTGGTTAGTGCTTGACTGTGGGAAATTGGCTTCCCGTCTGTTCCAAAAAGAAGGTTTGGCCTGATGCCAAGACTTGCTGCGAGCCTGGCAGCCCCAGGCCCAGTTCCTCTCCCCAAACTACCAAACTGCATCAAGTCTGGGTTGCTTCCATATCGATCTATGGTATTGAGTGCTGCACACATACGGCTGATCTCCCTGGCAGTTGTAGCACTGTACTGAGCCAAGTTCGCTTCTTGGAAGCCAGCAATGTCACGAGCAGAGTAGCCATAGTCTGAACTGATGTTAGACAAGGAATTATATCTCCTTATAGGCAGTGCTTGGGCTGTGATGTCTCCTCCATGCCGTAAATCTGTATAGGAGCCATATTGCAACCCTATGAACCCTCCATAACCTTGTTTCATAGCAGTTAGATCCATAGCAAGTTCTGCTGAAGTTTGGATGTGTGGTTCTAGTTTGGAGTGGTAGGACTGTAGCCCAGCTTCAGCAAGGTTTGTATCAGACATCGAAGGCTGGAGCCTTCCGGGGAATGGTAATGTGTAGGCCTTACGTTCATCCATTGGATAATCAAGGTACCCTCCGGATTGTCTTTCTTGATCAGACTCATAGGTAAGAGGTGGGGCAGATGGAGGCCTTATGCCCTCTGTCTCGCCACCAACACAGCTTCCACCAAATGGAAGTCGGTATACAACATCACAGCAAGCTGGTTGGTTGTCAGGTTTAAATTGGCCTTCTGTCAAATCCATAGCATCCTGTCCTTCTTCTACCTTCACTAGCTGAGTCACAGCCCTCGCCTTCTCTGGCCCTACGTCCATCTGTACTACCATGCTATGTGGAGATTTAGCTCCTGATATCACACCAGGAGGACTGGGCCTTCCTCTCAGCTCAACAGGACCTGCACCATACAGCTCAGGATTCATTATTGGTGTTACAGCACTGACCACAGCTGAGGCAGCGCTAGTCTGACTGACTAGCAAGTCTTTTTTCAATAAAGGTGAGATCTGTCCGGTAAGGCTGTACCTCGCCAAAGCAGATGCCGTTTGTTGCTGATGTTGCATCTGGTGATGCTGATGCAACTGCTGTTCAAGTATCTGTTGTTGCATCTGCAGCTTCTCCTGCTGTATTTGTAGCTCTTTCTGTTGGATACTGAGGTCTTCCAGTTTGGCATCAATTTTTGGTATTGCTGGGTCAGTTGGAGGGGAAATTAGTGGTTTGTTCTGGGAAAGACACATAGCAGTACCCATGCCCTGACCAAGATCCACTTGGTTGTGATGTGGATCACCATAGACTGATGGCTGTTTTGGCTGGGTCATGAACATGGAGGCAGCCACAGTGACACTCACAGTTGTTGGAGTGATGATCTCCTGGGTGTTCAGGTTCATAATCATGGGCTGTACAATTGTTGAATGCCTGCTACCCTCTGATCCACCGTGATATTTTCTGCTTTCGGTGGCCAATGAAGTGAGATCCATTCCCTGGTCAGTCATGATAATAGGAGCTGGTTTTGTGGCTGTTCTGAGGTCCACGACACTCCCACCTTGGATCATATGACCCTGCTCTACCCTAGAAGTGCCTGGCACTGTAGATATTCGACAGAGGGAGATGTTGTCCATTGACATGGATCCTCTGGTGTAATGGCTGGCTGTGGTGACCATACTAGTTCCAACATTTACTTTTTCCACTCTTTGTGTTGTGCAGAAACTACGTGTGGGAGACTGGTGGTAAGGTGGCGTATCTGGAGGGCTGTTACATGGGGAGTAATTGTCAAATGTTGATTGGCGACTAAATCGGGTGGGCGAAGACAGGGGAGAAGTAGCAGTGTTGACTGTCATTGGCCTAGCAGGGCTTGGAGGTGGGGAGTATGGGGTATCCTGGGAAGACTGTTGGTGATAGAGCCGTGGGGACACTGATCGATTTGATGTTTGGGTTCCCTGAGCAGTCACTGGAGACGTAGGCTCAGCGCCAGCTGACTCAGACCTTCGTAATGCTGAACTGAAAGTCTGTGTCGAGAATTCAGCAGTATTCCTTCTGGAAGGTGAATGGGTGGGACTCATTGTTGGGGGTGATGGAGAAAGAGGAGGACTGGTGCTCCTGTAATAAGTAGTATACTTGGGAGAACGTGGCTCAATGATTCTCTCAGTGGAAGATGTAGAGCTGTCTCTCACTTGGACATCCCTGGTCTCCCCTACCCTTCTGGTGATCACTTCCCTTTGACTGTATGCCTGGGTAATCTCTGCAATCTTGCTGCATACACTTGAGACTGTAGTTGAAGATGTGGCAGGACTTGCTGTTTGTCGACTATACATACTTGACTGAGTAGTGGTCATAGTGCAACTTGTACTGGTCTGAGAAATTGTTACTGCATCTCTGGCATAAACTCCATAAGCTGCGATAGTAGTGGCAGCCACTGCTGGAGTAATTCCATTCTTTCCTGCTTGGCTTTTGATCCTGTCTTTGTGACCATCCTTTATAGAGAAGTGCTGTGTTACTCGGACATCAGGAATTCGTCCTCCAGTCTCAGCAAAGGAGACAGGAGCTGACACCTGGGTGGGGCTTGTACCTGGAGTTAGCAGAGCATTGCTTTGCTCAAGAAGCTTAGCAAAGGCTGAGCCTGTGTCAAGGAGCTGCTTGTCCGGGTAGGAGCTCTCAATCTCTACTTGCTCATCAGTGGCCTGCTGCATCTTGGTAATGTTTTGAGATGTTTGTCTGATCTCTTCATAAATATCTGTTTCTGTCTCCACTGCCTCATTGTCATATGATTGATCTTGTTCATATTCATACTCCTCCTCATACCCTTGTCCATTAACATCCTCTTCATAGCACTGCCCATGTCTTGCTGGTTGTTGCTGTTGCTTCTGTTGTTTCTGAAGCATCTCTGCCTTCCTCATCATCTCCTCATAAACCTCCTCAGCACTCTTTAGAGGTTTGGAAGTAGAAGATGGTGCTGTGGTGGTTGTTGTAGTTGATGATTTATCTACTGGTGAGTAGAGAGACATAAAGGTAGGCAGGTTGTATTCGCTGCCTGACTTGTAAAGTTTTGACTCGTACCCCTCAGCCTCTGAGTCCAGACTCTGAGGGGAATATTCTGAAGCAGATGAACGATGGAGCTCTTCCATTTCTGCCGCCTGTCTCAGTTCTTCGGTTGGAGAAGCATCTTCAATGGGTGAAAGATTGCTAGGTGGTGTCTTGGATCTCTCTCTGCGCCTCTGAGCCCTAAGCTCCTCCTTATCCCTCTTGGTCTTTCGTGCTGTGCTCCGTATCCTCTGTTGTTCCACCTCCCTCATCTTCTCCTGTTCTCTCAGAAGTTCTTCTTCCTCTCTCAGCTCATCCTCTTCTGAAGAGTCTTCAATGGTGGGAAGGAGTGGACCGTGGGAGCGGTGGCGCGCTTTCCTCTGCTGCTTGGCCTCTTCCAGCCTTTGCCTCCTGCTGGGGCTACTGTCACTGTCCTCTTCCATCGATGAGATCGAAGTAGGAGACTGGCCTGAGCCATATGAGGATGAGCTAGCTGGCACGGTGGAGGAGTAGTCGCCCCGAGAACGCTCTTCGGGAGATCCTGTCAGGCTTTCCATCTCAAGCTCTGGTTCCCGATCGAGGCTCAAGTCATTTTCATTGCCCAGCTCCATGTCCCGGCTGAAGCTACTGGTGTTATTAAGTTCAATGGTTTTGAAGCGCCTCAAGCCTCCTTGTGCCATCAAATCATCTTCACCCTCCTCCATTGAGCCTTTATAGACATCAGAGGAGCTCTTTGTTTCCTCCTCAAAACTGCTGGAGTGGTGCTGAAGACGTCTTTTCTCCTTACCTGAGTCAGAGACATGTTTAAGGTGGCTCTTTTTGGGTTTCTGGTAGCCATATCCTTCATCTTCCTCCTCATCTTCTTCCTCCATTTCTTCATCCTCATTTTCTTCGTCAGCGCTCATCTCCATTATTTGTCTCCTCATGAACTCTTCATCTGTCATTTCTGTGGGCTCAGCCTCTTTTTCCTTGTTTTTCTTCTCCTTCTTCTCCTCCTTCACTTCCTTCCGTTTACCCTCCCATTCTCCTCCGTCCTCTTCCTCCTCCATTATATCCTCCAACTCCTCGTCAGAGTCGTATGAATCTGGTGGGATTGACAGGGAGCGTGGGCGCTGCTTCCCTCTGTCATCCAAGTCTCTGTGCTTCCTCCCTCTTCTGTCCCCCTTGTCTTCAGACAGGCTCTTCTCCAGCAAAGGCCTCATGGAGCTCTCTAGCTTGGTGATTTCTGAAGGGCTCGGTGGGGAGCCTCGTCCAGTGATGCCCCTCTCGCTCAGCTTCATCTCCTCTTCTTGGATTAGACCTGTGATTTCACTGTGGGAGCTGGAGATGCCATCAGAGGAGTAGCCGGTGTCACTGAGGCTCTGAGGGCTGCGTGACAAGTCATGGGTGCTGTTGTTTTTTGTATCCTAAAGAGAGAACAAGAAAGAGAGAAGAATGTATTAGATTAGGGAAAGTTAGGGTTTCAAATTAAAGTCATAATTAATGCAGTGTAAGAATGTGTTGATTCTGGATAAACACCTTGCTATGCATACAATTTAAGCCCACATATATTTAGAATTAGATTGTTTAGATGTAAAAAGGAATGGTTTCTTTTTTATTTTAAGTATTTATCTATAATATAATGTAGGAATTGCTTGTCCAATATGTATACTCATTATTCATCACTTGCTTAAACAATCTTGATAAAACCGCATCGCAGAAATTAATTAAAAGAGAACACATTAGAGAAAAGGCTTGCAGCTATTGGTCCTAACCCTATGGATGTAAATTATACAGGAAAACAGTGGGGAAAATATGCACAGATTTGCTTTCCTATTTCTGAAGCTGGATATAAAAACATTGACATTTTATTTAGAATTAAAACATGTAATTAAGAAATAATATTATACAACATTAAACTAAATCAATACATTCAAGGCATGGTGAGATTTATTGAAAAAGCAAATATCCACCAATATAATATATGACATCATTTGGACATTACATTACATATTTCATTATACAGTTTTCATAAAGTGGCTTACAGTTGTAAGGTTTGTTAACCATTTTTTGAGCCATTGATGGAAAGAGGAGAGTCAAATTGCGTTTTTAGTAGATTTTGTTTTTTGATCATGACGATTGAGAAGGTAACTTGACTAGAACATATAACCAAAACTCGGTCATCAATGGCTCTGTCTCAGATGTCTGTTAATAACATGCCAAATCATAATTTCAAAGTGACTAACCTCGTGAATGAAAGGGGGATGGAGGACAGAATGCGAAATAGATAACAAAATTAAGGAAATGTTTGCGAGAAAACCTCCAAACAATGACAATATATCAAAAGGAGACTTTACTTTGAGTTCTCCCCACTTTAAATTCCTAGCAGCTACCTTGATGAGGAAGGTCTGCTCTGCTTTTGAAAAGGCCCAAAGCAGCCAATCTTAATCAATATTTCAGGGAGTGCGAGGGCTGCCGCCGAGTAAGAAATCTACAATTATATCACTCCCTCTCTTTTGTTCTCTCACTCCCTCAGGTAGTCCATGCATGCTGCCACTTGCAGCATCAGCAAGTCTGTGAGCAGGGAATCAATGACCTGCTTTCCAAACAGCCATGGACGTCCAATAATAGGGTGTCTCATAACATACCATGACTACTGTATATCCTACTATATTTAACATTGGGTCTAAGCTGTGATCACAAAACAGAATTGAAATATAATTCACATTAAATATTAGAGTCATTTTTAACATAGTGACGATTACACAAGAAATTCAAGATAACAAAACAAGCTTTAAATAAAAAAGTATTTAAAGAGTCGAATGAGAGATTAGCCAACAATGCAACAAAAAACAAACAAACATGGGTCCTAATATTTTCTTTTTACCAGAGAAAAGGTCATTCAAACAAACATGAAAGTGTGTTTCCAAATGGTTGTTACTAAACCAAAAACTATCCCATTTCATCGTGAACACATGAAGGCTCCCAGAATAAACCTTGATGCATCTCAGTAGATACTGTAGTCATGTACATTTTAAAAGAGTTGAATGAAACTGCAGATAAAACCAATAAACAAAGGTATATTGGCAAGAGCACAATGTGTTGTATTTGCATTTCGCCTTTGATTTAACTTCAGTCCCAAAATTATAACAGCATGCAGCAGCTGAGAACAATTTTCAGAATAGGTTTAAGATACTCATGAGAAACTAATGTCAGATTTGTGTGGAAAACATCAAAGATATTGTAGGATTATGGAGTCATATGGAGTCGTTTCAACCTTTTTAAGGCTTATCTATGAGCATTAGTCATCACAAATATGTAATATAAGCTATATTCAGAGTAGCATGAATGGCCTCAAGAAGCCACTGTCAAACATTTACTTACATCTGGACTCTAAACACAGCATTCAAACCCTTGAGGGAAACGTTGGAGGATATCTAATGTGGCAACAGGCTGCCGGTCGCTGGCAGGATACATGATGATGTAAAATCTTAACATACATTTCCCACGTGTGACAACATACGCTTCGCAAGTCCATTGGTCACATGGTCCATTTATTAGATGTATCTTTCTAGGTCAGATTCTGCTGGGACAGTAATATTTGCCAGTGGGCTGTACTACCAAAGTCAACAAAGTGTTAAGTCTGCTGCTGAGTGTGTTTTAAATTTAGGGGACCTGAAGTGGAAGTAAGAATGGGGACATGCAGTCTTGCTCCATAGCTAGCTAGCTTCTTAGCTACATTCATGAAAATATAGAAACAGAAAAATGGCAACAAGCATGGATGACATGAAAACAGTTGTACAAGTTGTACGCCGACTTTCCTGGGGTCGTTTTATTAGCTTTTTAGAAAGCATTTTGAGATAGGGAAGCTAGGAGAGGGCATCTGCTCTTTGAACCCTAAAGGAAGCAGTCACGTTTGATCCTGCCGTTGACCAGCTGCCTGTACAACACCTGATCAGGGTTTACTGTGAGCTTCATTAAAATACAATATTTCTGGTATGTACACACGATAAGTATACATTTAAACAAAGGTACAGATGTGCAGAATAGTTTACGCAAGTATCAACTTGATTTAAGCCTTGTTAATATGGACTTTTCCCATATCTTGCGAGGATTTTGAAGGTCAAGTGTAGGCAAAATCCTGTCTACTACATACTGCAACTCCCTCCTGGCTGGTCTACCTGCATGTGCCATCCGACCTCTGCAGCTCATCCAGAATGCAGCGGCTCGTCTGGTCTTCAAGCTTCCAAAATGTTCCCACACCACGCCGCTCCTCCGCTCCCTTCACTGGCTTCCAGTAACTGCTAGAATCCACTTCAAGACAATGGTACTTGCGTACCATGCTGTGAATGGATCTGGCCCTTCCTACATCCAGGACATGGTTAAACCGTACACCCCAGCACGTGCACTCCGCTCTGCATCAGCCAAACAGCTCGCTGCACCCGGACTGCGAGGGGGACCCAAGTTCCCATCAGCAAAAACACGTGGGTTTGCTATCCTGGCTCCAAAATGGTGGAATGAGCTCCCCATTGACATCAGGACAGCAGAAAGCTTACACATCTTCCGGCGCAGACTGAAAACTCATCTCTTTCGACTCCACTTCGAGCAATAGAATTTCTAACAAAGCACTTACAGTGGGGCAAAAAAGTATTTAGTCAGCCACCAATTGTGCAAGTTCTCCCACTTAAAAAGATGATAGAGGCCTGTAATTTTCATCCTAGGTATACCTTAACTATGAGAGACAAAATGAGAAAAANTAGATTATAAAATGTTAGGGATAAATACCTTGACATATTGACTACAAAAGCTTGAATCAAACAAGCAAACCTTCTATTTGAAAGATTAACTCACAAAGCCACAGTCACACCTTGTATATAAGTGGCGTGGCTGACTACTTTAAAGGGTTCATGAATAGAGGGGACTTGAATGTGAAATAAGAAAAAAGAAAAGAAAAGTCTAAATACAAGAAAAAGCAGCAGAATATTTGAACTGCAAACTTCTGAACTAACTTGATGGCGAATGATCTGTCGCCATGGCAACTGTATTTGATGACACTCCATAATACGCTTAGATGTGTTGATGGCTGCATCGTTACCAAACCTGTGAAGTTTTGGGCCGTTTGGAGCATTTTCACTGAAGTTATGAGAAAACCGTGTTTCATGGCGAGCCTTGTGTTACCATGGCAATGGCATTTGAAGAGATCTCAAAACTCTCACGTAGATGTCGTCACGGCTGGACTGTTAGCACACATGTGAAGTTTGAGCACTTGGTGAACATTTCCATAGGAGTCAATGTAAAGCGACATCGTGTGTTATGGCGAGGGATGCGTTTCCATGGGAACGGCATATGGTGAGATCTCAGATTTGGCGTAGAGCTGTTGAGGCATGGACCGGTGATATACAAGTGAAGATTGTGGGACGATTGGACCGTGTCCATTGGACTTACAGCGACATTTTGTTTCATGACGAGTGGTCTGTCGCCATGGCAACGGCATTTGATGACACCCCATAATACGCTTAGATGCGTTGATGGCTGCATCGTTACCAAACCTGTGAAGTTTTGGGCCGTTTGGAGCATTTTCACTGAAGTTATGAGAAAACCGTGTTTCATGGCGAGCATTGTGTTGCCATGGCAACGGCATTTGAAAAAAATCTCAAAACTGTCCCGTATATTAGACCCTCCAGAAAAACGCGATTCTGCGATCGCAGAATTTACCGCATAATCAGCAAAATGGCGCAGATTTTTAAAATCCCGCATATTTATCAAAAGGCCGCATAATCCCCGCATTTTTCCACACAAAGTTGAGAGAAAAAAAAGTTAACTCGTCTTGACGTGAAGTAGTGATGATNAAACGCGATTCTGCGATCGCAGAATTTACCGCATAATCAGCAAAATGGCGCAGATTTTTAAAATCCCGCATATTTATCAAAAGGCCGCATAATCCCCGCATTTTTTCACACAAAATTGAGAAAAAAAAAAGTTAACTCGTCTTGACGTGACGTCATCAGCTCGCGCATCACAGAATGTAAACAACACTGTATAGAGTGAACGTGTGGAGCTCACACGATAGAGAAAACACCAAGATGAAAAAAATCTAATCCATCTCATTTACCGACGAACATTTCAACTAAAGACCGGGCAAAAAGTGGGGGGAAACTATTCTGCACCCCGTGCAACTGTGTGTTGGAGCATAAGAGAAAATCGACGGTGACGACCCACTTTGATTCATTCAAACATTCGAAAATGCTTTCTGTTGCTGCGGACAAGAAAGCCAAACGACTCACGCTCACCGAGGCATCAACCTCCAAAACCCTTTCGAGGGCTACAAGAAACGAAGTGGGGGGGTGTGTGTGTGTGTGTGAGATTAAAATAGCCCAATTGCTTTTACAATAAGTAAACATTGAATGTGTTTAATTGAATAGTAAAGGGGTTTAACGTTAGTGGCAGGTTGTGTGTGAGAGAGAATAAATAAGACAGCTCAATATTTAAAAAAATTGTTATTCTTTTTCCCCGCATATTTAGCATATTTCGCAACTTTCCGCATATTTCGCAACTTCCCGCAATTTCACCGCATAAAATCACATAAAACCCCGCATATTTAATCGCATAATCAAGGATTTTAGCCCGCATAATCAAGGAATTTAGCCCGCATAATCAAGGATTTTTGCCCGCGTTTTTCTGGAGGGTCTATTATATGATTCTGTTTTCTTCAAGTTTGTATCTTCTTGGTCGAATGCACTTATTGTAAGTCGCTTTGGATAGCGTCAGCTAAATGCAATGTAATGTACTACACATATCTGCCAATGAACAAGAGCTTCCATTATGATCATGAAGTATGATGGAAAAAACTATGAATGTGAAGCATTGCCACGCTGAAACAGCCAAGCATTCTCAACCTCCATATATGCTATAATAGCTAAAAAGCTCACAAGCAATCTTAGGTACATAATGTTTGTATGTTACACTATGGTTTCCACAGATAATTCACTGATAATCAGCCTAATTCTTCTTCTATTTGGTTCACTTTCCACAAGCTATTCAACTGTTTGATTAGTCAACTTTTGTTCATTTTCCATAGCTTAACATACAGAGTTGTACACCAGGCTGAAGCAATGTAATAAAAAAGGAATCAGACTTACGTCATAGTGCCTGGACTTCTTCATTTCCTTGATCGGTGTGATGGGCTCTCCTTTCTTCTGGGAGGTTTTGGTGTCTTTGTCAGTTTGGTTCTCAGGCTCGGGTTTTGGCTTCTCCTCTGTGGGTTTCAGAGGTTTCTGGGTCTCTGTGGATGACACAGGTGTCGTTGTCTTGGTGTCCGTTAGTTGTTTAGCCGCAGTTGGAGCAAACAGTCCGCTCACGCCACTTCCCGTCTGCGCTTTTTGCATTTGCGGCTGGGCAGTCCTGGGCCCCTGCTGATTGGTGGCCTTGTGGAGAGGGCTTTGCTGATTGGCTGGCATCTGGTGACGGGGTGAGCCCATTGGCAAGTGTTTGGGAGAAGGGTGAGGAACAGGAAGGGGAGGTTCGTCCAGACCTCCTCCGGACAACAGCCGCTGGGTCTGGCAGTTGAGACATAACCACTCCTTTTTCTGGAAAACAGAGAGTAAAAAAAGAAACATGGTTAGTGACAACGAGCTTGTTAACAATAGCACAAAAAAACACTTATTTCAATATAATTATATTACGTCCAACATTTCTAAGATTTTCCTTCAAGCTCATTGCCAATGCAAGAGTCCAAAGCATTACAACTAGTACAGGTGCTAAGGAACATTGGGCACTCTAAGGGAAACTTCTGTAGCAATGGAGAGTCAGGACTCAGAGAGACACGAGGAGAGTTGGAGCTTTGATGTCAAACACTGATGGTTTATTACAAGTCGGCCGGAGGATTAACATCAAAAGTCACAGCAGCCAGAGGTTCTGACTGCCCGGGTGGGTTGCCACATCAATGCAGCCGCGTCTCTCTCCTGCTAGACCTTTTAAATGCTTTACAGAGAGTAATCAACATATTGGGGGAGATAGCCTAAACATCTGGGGGCACTGAATCAAATGTCTGACCCTTAATGGCCTCGAAGCCATCGTAACCATAAACCATTTGTGACCGAGAGTTGACCGGTCATAAACTGGGAATATCAAATAGCTGAGGCCTCCCATTCCTTAAGACAGATAACAGACGTCAGGGTTGGTAATAAACGTCAAAGGGCAAAAAGGTTAGATATCTTAGGAGTAAAGGAGAATGCATAACAAAATCAGGTGTAAGTTTCAAAATGTTTTAATGTAAAAGGCTACATTAAAGTCATAAGGTTAAATATGTATAACCGTTTCTCCTTCTGTACTTCTCATCTTGAATGATGTGTTCTTCGTTAACTTCTCGGGTTAAAGACTCACGGTATCTGATTGACAGGTGATCTCTGGAATGTCCAAACAGATCAACACAAGTTTGGCAAAATAGATAAATTCAGCAAATTTTGTGTTTAAAAACATTTATGTATTGAACCAAATGTAATGCCTTGTTTTGTCATCTTAATAAGGGAATATTAAGGGTTTATAAACTGTATATCGGTCTGAAGTATACAGATTGTGTTTACATCTCTCTTTTATCCCCTCTCTACAGGATAGTAACTGATGCCGTTCTGTACTAAAGAGCATCCATATTACTTATGTAATGAATAACTGACAGATGCAGCCCTCCCTGATGAACACTTATCTCCTATCTCTGTTCTTTTCCACCCACTCATCAAATATGCTCTACACAAAACCCACCAAACCTCTTTCTTACTCCCCTCCCTCTCCTCTTCTTTTTGATCTCTGTATCTCTCTTTCTCTGAATCCCTTGCATAAGACAATTCCATAGCGACAACCCTGTCTACTAAAACAAACAAATAAACTGGATTCTAAATTACATTTTGAGGGAAACAAATGTCCCCATGTAAATTGAAAGTAGAAACAAAAAATGCAACAAAACACCATGGTGATGTTAAAGGGTTAGGGTTAGGGGTTAGGCAACTAAACTACTTGGTCAGGTAAAGTAAAAGATGACTGTACTTAAATCACAAGGTAAAAGATACTTTTTTAGAAATGCTTTTTATAGCGTTATTAATGTTGTGTAATGAATATGTTAAGGTTTGTTTCTGTACAGCATCACTATATAGGCTTCATTTCAAGACTGTACTTTTTAATAACCATTTTAGTCTAAGTCTGTTGTGGTATTATCTTCAATGTTAAAGACACAAAATGAGACCGAGATTTCGGTATGATAGGACATAGACACAATGGTTGTGAAAATCCATAATGTTTAAATGTTTACTTTAACACGTAGGACTGTTTCTTGCTACTCTTTTTGGAAACAACACAGCTTCCTTTGAACGTCTTTCTCCCGCCAAAATGACTCTACCATCAAACATGTTCAGAAATAACTGATGCAAGGCTCAAAACATTTGTGCAATCCGAGCTGCAGAACAGACCTAATTTTGAGTCTGCTCCAAGCATGACGGACATAAGGATTTAAAGAAAAGCGGAAGAAAGTGGGCCTCCCTTACATTAAAGATTTAAGTGCAAACAGTTGCAACTACTTTAACTATCATACAATACTGTATGTGTGTACACTAAAGCAGTAGCGTATGCGATGGGTGAATCATCTTTAGACCCTAAAGTGAATTCATGTCCTTCCTTTCCCAAGGCTAGTGTATTCAGTCCTACAGATCACATCATGACACGTGTGTGTGTGTGTGTGTGTGTGTGTGTGTGTGTGTGTGTGTGTGTGTGTGTGTGTGTGTGTGTGTGTGTGTGTGTGTGTGTGTGTGTGTGTCAAAGAGTAGCCCATTGCTGCACCACTTAACCTACATAGCACAAACATCTGGCCTTTTCTCCTCCTGTCAATAATGTTCACTAAAAAGCTCCATCAGTCCTAATTCTGCTTTCAGATGTATTTTCTCTCTTTATGTCGCACTCTCTTTCTAAGTTACCTTTCAAAATCTGTTCAGCGTTTCTTGGAATTGTCCTCCTGTATTTCTTCTCTGCCTTCCAGCTCTGTGTCTCTTTCCAAAAAAATGTCCACCCCCCTTCTATATTTATTTGTTATCTCTTATTCAGTACTGTTTGTTGTGCTTTTTTCTCCTCCATCTCAGTTGCACATTATATTTCTTCCACCACTGGATTTGATTTATGACAATTCTGCGTAAATAACTCACTACTGTGTTCAGTCCGCATTTTACCCCTTGGCCAAAGAAAGGCATTCGAATGAACCATTAATGAAGGAGACATATTTGTTGTATTTGTCCCTGAGGACATCTTTGTGGTATTGGATTGTTTTGCCTCTTTGTCTCTTGTTATTTCTCGTGATACACTTCTTCTACTAATATACAGTATGTGTGTAAAGATGGGTCGGAAAATGCAAACGCTTTGGGTAAAATGGATTACTCCAGAAGAAGGTGCTTCCCCAACTTGGTTTTTCGTAGTTAGTCAGTAAAACAAAAAACATGGTCACAAAATATAAGGGAAAGTAGTAAAAAGAAGTCTGAATTATTTCTACTCAGTTCACTTGTAAGTAAGGCTGGGTATCAGTGCTCGATACCTTAAAGCGAAACAATTCAGTGCCTATTGGTACCACACCACTCTAGTCAATCAATACCTGCATTTAAACATTTTTGAACCCAGGGTTATGAAAGGATGTCATTTTTAAATGTCTTAGCTCAAAGCCAATTAATGCATGGATTTATTGCTATAGCACTCATTGGATCCTTTCACGACTGAGTATTGAGCGGCTAGGATGAAGATCATCCCCTCCAATCTGAGGCCACGGTTCTCAACAGGAAACCAGGGGACTGTATAAATGTACCAGTCTGCCTTTGTGTCTGCCCTCACATATGGTCATTAAGGCTGGGTCACCATTAGAACAAGTTTGCGGATACAAGCAGCCGAAATGGGTTTTCTCCGGGGGTTGGCTGGCATCTCCAGGTATAAGGTTCCCTAAGGTAGAGAGCTGCTGCTCCTTTATGTATAAAGGAGCCAGTTAAGGTGTTTGGCACTTGGTAATGATGCCAAATGGCCGCCTCCCTAGGTCGGTGTTCCAGGCACATCAAGCTGGGAGGAGACTGAGGGGCAGACCCAGGAGCAGGTGGAGGGATTATAAGATGGCCTGGTAGCACCTTGTAACCCACTATTAGAGCTAGTTGGTGTTCACAGACTGTATGTTTATTAGTGGTGGTAATATACCCAACTATAAGCCTCCATTTACACGATGGGTTTCCAATGAGGATCTCTATGAGGTTGGTAACTCTTTCTAAAAAGACCTGTCCCAACGAGTTAACAAGCTGGACGGTTTGTTTTTGTTTGGTGAGCAGAACTCCGGGCAGCAGAATGTTGATATGCATATATTTGTTTTTCGCCCAGCCCCAAAATGGTAGAATGTCAAATAAGATTGGACTACATGACAACCATGCCAAACTGTTGCACTCGCTGAATTTAAAATACTGACTTGACTACTTCTCTTAAGTCAAAGCTTCTTTCCTACTCTCGGTTCACTTCTAGTCCGACTCTTTTCACACATTAGCACTGCAGTTCCTCTCGTTCCTCTCTTCACTACATGATCATTAAACTTCCATCTTGCCCCTTCCTCTCAGCTCTTACCCTCCGTCTCCCTTTTCTCTCCCTCCAACAGCGCAAGGGCTATTTTTACCCAGAATGCCATTGATCTGCTCAAGCGCACACTTCCCTAGCACTGGCTGCAGCTTTAGGCTGCACTCTACAGCAACACACACACACACACACACAACACACACACACACCACACACACACACACACACACACACACCACACACACACACACACACACACACACACACACACACACACACACACACACACACACACACACACACACACACACACACACACACACACACACACACACACGTAGTCACACGGTTCACTTCAATGCAAAATGGAGGAGGCCTTTGTAGCTGAAGGCTTACCAGAAGAAGAGAGAGATGACAAGCAGAGGGAGGAAGAAGAGAGGGGGAGAAGAGGAGCCCACTGGGCAGAGGAAAGGAGAAAGGGGGAAATGAGTGACACCACACGTGCACATGGGTCATGCACGCTCACTGTAATTCAGAGAGGCCTCTAGTAATGTAGCTGACTCACTGGCTTGGAGTGGGGACAGAGTAGCAATGACAGACGCAACTTTGGAGACACATGGAAACAGAAAACCTTCCACCTGTTTTTGTTGTTGCTTTCTGTTTTCCTTAATGTCAATACAGGACATAGTGCATTTTGTGTACAATCGTTACTTTGGTTGATCCACTGTCTGCTTTTTCAGCTAATGGGGAAATACACTGCAACGTATTTGCAATAATACTCTTTGTTAACTGGGGATAGATAATCATAGTTAGCTAAGAAAACAAAACGGCTCACCTCTTCCTGTGTTGGATGCCCAACGGTTGACATACTTTCATGGTGCAATAGATTGAGCCTTTATGGTCCCACGAGATCATACCTGGTGGCAGGCAGAACTGCATACTAAAACAAACTAAAGTGTCGTAATTCTATGTATTATATTATTTCCTTTTAACGTATCATGGTTTATGGTTTCAAATTGCATTTAAGTTTTTTCATCTCAAACGAGTTTCGGGGGCAGGTTTCACCGCTCGGTGCACAGGTTGCATCAGTCATCGTACGTGGGGAGACTCACTTTAACATGACAACAAAGACTTCATAGGAGTTGTCCCACTTAAGCACTTCTCCCCCCACTGTTCACTGCTACGTTCCTAATTCATGACTCTTCAGCTCTGTCTCCTCCTTTCACTTTGTTTCTTTTCTCTCTCTCCTTTGTCTCGCTAGCTCATGGGGGAATTCTGGGGGTGAATTAAGGGGTCTAGACATGCTCTGTATGAAAAAATAATAATTTCTGATATTTTTGACAAATAAAGTTACTATTTAATTTTCATCATAAGAATTTATTTGTCATATTTGAGATGTCTATGAGCGTTATGAAAATAATCCAATACAAGTAAAAGTCCTGAATTCAAAATGTTACTTAAAGGTGGGTTAGGTAATTTTGGAGAAACCAGCTCAAGTGCGC